AGTATCTAGATAAATTAGATGACATATCATGTGATTTGTTTCAAAAACATTTATGGCAAACTATAAGAAATAAACAAATAAAGGTCTAATTACATAAACCCTAATAAAATGAGTCATGCAGGTTAGCTTACCGGACCCAACAACACCTAACCTTTATTTAAAAAAAATATTTCTCTAAATTTATTTAATTTATATTTAAATTACTACTCATTTTCCCTTTTATTTTATTCAAAGAGTCTCTCCTAAATGCTTTTTTTTTTTTGCTATACATTTAAATTTAAAGTATTTTTTTGATTCTTATGAATTTTATGTTTTAGAATATTTTTTTATTTTCAGATAATATTTTTAATATATACAACCATATATATAATTTTTTTCATTTTATTTTATCAATTTAATTTGTATCTCTATTCTATTAATGCTTATTTAAATAAAAAATATTTTAATAAATAAATTTAACAAACATATTTAGATAAATACCCTACCTTTTAAAAAATATTTATCTTGATTTATATTTATTTATTGAATTTTAAAATTTTATTTTTAAAAATCAACAATAATTTTTAATTAATTTATTCATATATAATTTTTATTTTTAATTTATTTGATTACATGCATAGCACATCTCTTTCAATGATGTTACTGGGCTTTCTAGCCGTGGGTCGGTTATAATGTAATATCTTTGTTTGGGCAGCTGAGGGCCTCGTTTGCTACCAGAAGAGAAGTGATTCCACTCCAAGCCTGATTTACATGGTTCGAGCCGTTCGACTAGAAGATCGTACCACGGGCAAAAATGAAGCTAAAATCTCTTCATACCATGAAGTAAAAACATATCGATAAATTCATTAAAGGGACTATACTCTAGTCCAAGCCACCTACATAATTAATACATAAACGAAAAGGAGAATTTGCAATGCTAGACGAACCAGAACATCGTCTTAGATCCTGTTAAGTGAACATCGGAAAGCCCGAGTTCCCTGCCACCGCTGCAGATCCCTTGTCTCATACCAGACATACCTCACATGTATAGTCACCATAGATAAGAAATTTGGAAACCATTCAATTTTTTTTTTTACTAGTTGGAATATTTTCCACAGCTTACTAGAATTTTTGGGAGCTCTACAGAGGCAAAGATCCAACTGGTAAGACATCAAAACTGTCCATTAAACTTAGTTGCAGAATTCACAATTTAAATACACAGAGAACAAACTGTCAATGAACTTAAAACATGCAAATCCAGACAACTGTGATGCTTTCAATCAATATGCATAGCTTTTAACTTTTAAAGCTCATTGTTCTCAATCCTTTGAACTAGTGCATACGCCTGACTGACAAATTGGAGAAACAACTAACCAGGCCCCACCTTTGGAATGTCATAATGCTCACTTAGGTTAGCCAGATATTGATTGAATTCCTGAATCCGATCACGGTGAGATTTGCTGGCCATCTTAACCATCCTTTGGGTATCGATTTTCTCCCACTGCTGGAGATATCGCTTCTCAGCTGGTGTAAGATGATCATCATACTTTGCAGTCTGCCCTTGTTCATCATCTTTGTCTGTCTCGTTCATATCCCCAGCATGATCTGTTGCTAATTCTGTATTTCCATCTGACAACCTCTAAAATGAAGACATTTTGTTAGTAACAACCAATAATTCATGAATCAAGGCAATATTAACTGAAAAAAATGAATGATGAAACTGTAGAAAGCATTATGACATCATAGACAGTCACTGCATAAAACTATAGCAATACACCCCCCCCCCCCATTTTCTCTCTCCCTCTTCGCTTCCCTTTCTCTCAGCTCCTACACACTCGCAATGGAAGCAATATAGCTTTCTTTCTCCATCCTCGCTCTATCATCACTGATTTTTTATGAAGGGCAGGCAGCAAATCCAATTGTGAACTCTGGATGGATCAGCAAGTGGGGCATCAATATGAAAAATATATATCTCATTATCTACTCACATGAAGATTAAATGAGCCCTAAGGAATTAGTCTGTAAATTACATTGGGAATGTAGACGGGACTGAACCATTTTCCGATCAGCAAAGATTTTTTTATAATTATTTCCCAGCAATTACTCAGATAATACTGCAACTCTAAACCGAGGAATGTCTCGAAAGGCTATTCCCTCGACTCCTGTCAGTTTTGGAGCTGGCTCAGTCCATCTCAAACACGAACTCAACCTTCTGTGTTTTTACACCCCAAAATCTTATCCATGAGAGTTTAGAAGAAAAATGCAAAATAATCAGTGCTCCCACCATGCCACATTACATTCAAATCCTACAGTGTTGTTCTGAATACTAGTCTCCGCTGCCCAATAAAATCGTGCAATAGTGATCCCACACAACCTTCAACTCGCTATTCTTTGAACTTTTGAAAATCACACTTGCATTTCTCAAGTCAAGAGTTCAGCGAATTCCACCTTAAAACACATGCCCTTTTTCAAGCCTTTTACCAATCAGAAATGCCTTCGTAACTAGGAGATAGCAGCGCTATTCCAACATTACAAATTGCTAGAAAGACCACCTAATTTAACTCATCATTCATCGTGCATAGTCTACATGAGAGTGTCCAATTAAAAAAAAAAATATCATAGTTACCAACAAGTATCAAGGTAAAGAAGAAGACATGAAACAAAAACCTGCTGCAGATTGATCTTGATAACGGTGCTTCTTGTAACGGAGATTCTTCTTCTTCTTGATAATGCCACCTGCTTTCACGTCCAGTGCTTTTCCCTTCAGCTTCAGCTTCCCCCCTATCACGTTCTCGTACGCAGACATCACTCCAATGATCAGGATTCACCACCAGCTATGATTCTAGATTACTTTGTAATTATTTATTTGCCAAAATACAAAATCAAACAACAATGTTAGACCAGACAGGGGAAGAAGAACATGATTCGATTTTTCAGAGATGGAGAATGAGATTGGATGAGGAATTCACATTGCGTGGGAGAGGGGTATTAGAAAGAGTGGTAGGTTCTGGACAGAAGTCGAAGTCTCTAGAACACCTCTGATTGCATTGTATTGGAGGGAACCATCTAACGACATGTCGTTTTAGCTCCACTGCCGAAAACAATGATTTGGCGGCTTTCCCGTTGACAAGAAATCTCGGTTTAGTCACGGGTGAAACTTTCCTTTTTAACCTTGTAGATTCAAGCATGTTCCAACTCCATCCTTGTAGTCTGAACTTCTATACTCTAACTTATGTGGTTGGTTTTAAGAGGTTCCGATGTGTTCCCCCAATCATTTAAATAGCTAGCAAAGCTCCTTTTCCTTTTTATATATATATATATATATATATATATATATATATATGCATGTATGTATGTATATATGCATGCATGTATGTATGTATTAAAAATCTCATTTTATCACATCAATTCCTCCGTTGTGTGGTGACATCTCCAAAGAATAATGAAGAGCCTAAAAAGAAATAGCTAAAAAGATGATCTTTGTATCAGCAAACTTTTTAAAAATTAAAAATATTTTAAACCAGGGGTAAAAGTAAAATATTGATACATAGATCTAGCTAAAAAAACATACTTTTTCCATCAATTATTATTGAAATATTCACGAAAAATATTCACTCGTGGTATATGTTATTTTTATCATATTATAATAGCTTTTATTATTGTAATTTAAAAATATTTTTATCATATTATAGTAGTTTTTATTGTTATGGTTTAAAAACAAATTAGCTTAAAAAAGTTATTATTAGTTGTAATTAGTTAGGTATAATATATTTCTGGTTAAAACTAAGGTTTGAATTATTGTTGAATAAAAAGTAATTTAAAGGTATTTGGTTAAAACTGTTTTTTAAAGTAATTTTGACAATAAAATAACTACAAATAATATTTAATAAGTTTATAGTTTTGAATTATATTATTATTAATACATTATAAAAATAACAATCCTTTATTAAGTTCATACTTTTATTGTCCTATTAAACTACTTGCAATTCTATTATGTATGTAATTCATTCGAGAAGTCCTTTGGTATCCATTGCTATTCGAGAATAGAATGACATCGACTAAAAGATCATCGAGAATAAAATTGAGATGACGATTAAATTCTATAAATATCATTTGTGATTTTTTTCTAATGTAGTTACGTAGTGCCATTGATGTTATTATAATATGAATTTGTATTTTGTACAAATATACATGTATGTTTTGCAAAATTCTTCATCTACGTTTTTACATTTCAATAAAGTATGTTCTATCACATTGCATAATAATGAGTTTGCACCATTAAATACTTCTTCATGACTTCTTAGTTACTTTCAATGCTAAAAACAATGCAAGTGATATCTTTCATATTTATATGGATTTAAATATCTATATCCATCTAGATATGCAACATCAATCAAATAATATTTCTTTGGGACAACAAAGGCTTTATAGTTTGCTTTGATTTGCTTTTTATGAGGTTATTACTATCTTATGATCTAAATTACGAGTTTTACAAGTTAATCGAGATTGGTTTAGATCAATCTAATATATCATCTAATATGTCACAAACTCAATAGTTAAAAAAGGTTTCATTCAAATACTGAGTTTTGTGTTCATTACTTTTTTATTTTATTTCTAGAAAACATGTTTCTGATGACCTCATATTTTTTTTTATATTTTTAAAAAATAATCTAGCTTGTGGCATAGCATGTGCTAAGGATCTAGTGCATGCTATTTATCATCGAATTATTTGATTTTATTTGGGTTTATTTTAAGTAAGATTTATTGTTTTTAAGGTTTGTTTGGGTAAAAAAGGAGATATAAGTTGCATTCTACCTTTAAAGGCTTATGTGAACAAAAAAGAAAATTTCAGGATTTAAAGAAAGCATTTGCATGATATATTTTAGAATTTGTCCAGTGAAATTATGTATATACCAAATGTTACTTTCAAATAAATCTTATAGTTTCAAAACAACAAGAAGACATAGGAAACAATACATTTAATTAAAAGTCGCAGCACACTTTCCATTTAATTTTAAAAAATTGATACTTGAATCAAAATCGACTCTCCGTATGTAACTGGGGGCTATTTTTGAGGTTTCACTAAACGCAAACAGAAACAGGCACAAACGGATAGATTGATAAAAGATCTGATATGAGTAGTCAAACATAAATGGGACAAACTGCTAAATCCTCAACAACCGTACGATACCAATCTAATCCACTCCACACCATCCGATCTCTCATCCACTGGGTCCCCCGCCTAACAAACTCAAAACGTCCCCGAGCTCTGACACTCATAAACACCAGGTACACGCCATACCACACTCACGTAAACACTGCGTTAAGCCATTGAAATACTCAAACCAACTCCAGAACCTTCTAGCTTCTTCTAGAAGCTCATTTCAATGGCTGAGACCAAGAGATCCACTGGCAACGTCAAGTGGTTCAGTGCACAGAAAGGTTTTGGCTTCATAGCTCCCGACGACGGCGGCGAGGATCTGTTTGTCCACCAGACCTCGATCCAATCCGACGGCTTCCGGACCCTCTCCGACGGACAGCCTGTTGAGTTCTCCGTTGATTCAGAAGAAGACGGCCGCACCAAGGCCGTTGATGTCGTAGGCGCCTCCAGATCTCGCCGTCCTCCTCGTGGAGGTCGCGGTGGCGGGAGGGGGTACTACGGCGGAAGAGGACGAGGTGGCGGCGGTTTTGGAAGAGGTGGCCGTTCAAATGGTGGAGGTTATGGAGGCGGAGGATATGGCGCTGGCGGGGGTGGTGGCGATCGTGCTTGTTTTAATTGCGGACGGTACGGTCATTTAGCGAGGGATTGTTATCAGGGTAGCGGTGGTGGTGGGATATATGGTGGCGGTGGAAGAAGAGGATATTCTGGTGGTGGTGGTGGAGGTAGAGGTGGAGGATGCTACAATTGTGGCGAGGAAGGGCATTTTGCGAGAGACTGTCCTAATACTGATAACAAGTGAGAGAATGTGAGTGGTTTCAGTTAATGGTGACACGAGCGCGGTGGTTGTCAATAATTCTTTTGTGGATTGTTGCCTTTTCAAGGTTTGGTGATTGCTTCTCTCCTCTCTCTCGCTGTTTTTTTTTTTTTTTTTAAAGGATGCAAACCAGCATAGAAGATGGAGCAGAATCGCTTTCTGTTCTAATTGTTTTTTTTTTTATATAATTTGGTAATGTTGGCGATTGTTTGCATAAGATATAGCTCCATTTCTTTTTTCATCGGTTATTGTTTAACATGAAACTGATTACATTTTACCTGTTTTATATGAGATTAATTATTTTTTCTACAGTTACTTGAATTGTTATGATATTAGTAAATTTGGTAATGTTGCTCAGGTCCAAGTAAACTTTAATTTCAAATCTGAATAGATATTATCAAGATTGGGGCATGAATGTGATGGCCACTATTTAAAAGTGATGGCATGCTTTTTTGTATTTTTCGGTTTCATTCAGTTTTATATGTGGATACTATAGCAATATTTATCTTAATACCAAGAATTTCATACGTGTTTGGTGAATGGATGTGTGTGTGTGTGTGTGTGTATTCCCATTAATCTATGGCTAGAATTCTTGTAATCTTATCTGAAGTTTGTTAGCCTATGAAGGGTTGAAATTGTATTTGTTAAGATTGGAATCCTCTGGGGCTAGACCAGCCACTCCTTGAAGAGTCTTGTGCGTGGTCTTATCCATCTCCTGTTTGGCTTCATGATATATCCGCAGTTTTGTTGCCTGTGGTCTTTATCCTTTCACATAATTGTATGACTGATTATTGAAAACAAAATGAAAGAATGACTTGATGTAATTATTACAAAAGAAATGCATAATGTTAAGGGGTTTATGTATTCTTTCTGAGCTGTAACATCTTGCAACAGTAATAACTCAAACAGAGAAGGATGGCTTGCTATTTAATGTTGCATGCAAGTTCTAAAGTTTACCAGTCCTTGAAATTCTCTAAGTGGCAGCTGGTTTCTAAGAAGGCAGGACTTAACAGTCCTGCCAATTTGTGAAAGCCATTTCTCTTTTATTTTGGGCGATTATTTAGAAAGCTCTTCTATTGAGCATGATCTTATTTATCAGATTCATAAGATTTATATTAGTTGGAAAGTTTAACATCTGAGGCATTGCCTGAGTGTCAAATGAGCTATTGATGCTTAAGCTTTTCTCTTGGCCATGTATTGATTTCAATTCCTCTTGTGGGTTGAGTTGGGGGTGGATGTTGGGTAGATGTGCCTTGTATTGCCATAATCTGAATGCATGTTTCATTCTGGCTGTATCATTTAGTTTGTCTTCTGTCTTCTGAAATGCAAATTTAACCTCATGTTATTATTCATTCAAATCTATATTGAGTGGAAAATATTGTCCTACCTGTCTCAAATTATTGCTCTTTCAAAACTCGGAGCTTTTTTATGTTTCACTCCTAGTTTTGATGCATTCTCAAGTAATTCTCTTAGCTCACAAGCACCACTTGGCTTTTTCTTAATTGTTTGTGGTTTGAGGTTTTTTTAAAGATGCAATAATCCTCGCCATAAGTGTATCTTTGAATATCTGAAAAATTATGCTTTCATTATTAGCATTGCAGGTGTCATAGCCACAGAACAAAAGGCATCCTTTGAATTCTGCTGTATTAATGGGTATAGCTTGTCGATCAATTTTGCTTAGTGCCATATCTCATGACTTCGGTGATCAGACATGTGTTCAATCTATATTACAAGTTATTTAGCCACTTGGTGTCTTATTGTTTTTGGTGATTTGTTGTGTTATTGATATCAAGTTCTATGATATCTGAGTATTTGGACTTCGGATGAAATGTGCATTATGCTTTGTATGAAACACTAGGATGATGTTTCTTTAAATGATGATTCATGCAAGGATTGACATACGAGCAGCATGTTCCAAAGTTTTGATGTTGGTTTATAGATCTGTAACGGGTATGGCAGATCCTAATTTCTCTTGTCCTCTCCTCCAACCCCCCATAATTTTTCTTCGGGGGAACCTTGGTTAATGGTTAGCAACTTAGCATGCAGGCCTGTCCTGGTTGGTTATCTTTGAAGAAATCCCCAAGTTTAGTAGCATGCCTAGCATGTCATTTCCACTCCATTAAAGACACTCCTTGGATGATCGGAGTTCTCTTTTGGGCTCACTGGGTATTTTTGTTGATCGTTGGCTATAATTGTACGGTTCTTGCTTTTCATTGATTAAGTTACTCTGTGATGAATCTTCTAGCTCTCACGGATAAGTATCTGATCTTCCTGTCCTGAGTTGATTTTTCAGAAATCTTTCTGGTTATGCAACGTCATGTTGCCAGTTCAGTTCTTCTACATGTCTAACCAGGGGCAACTTGATTTCTATTGTCATAGAAAACCTCAAGATCATATATTCAGAGAATTCCCCCATATCAAGGTCTTCAAGATGCGAAGGTTTTACTTGCCTTTATCTTCACTTGTTTGGCTCTAGTTTGAGTAATTTGAGCTTTGTAGATACACATGTACTTTTCCAGCATGTAATTTACATGTAAATGAGCGGATACGTCAATGTAACTTTAGAATGTTTTAGGAGGATCGCGTAGCCATAGAGCATTGATATGAGATGAGAAAAGGAATTGGTACTTTTTTTAGCCTCTTTAATCTGTGTGTTAGGAATGGCCAGCAAGCTACCTGCACGCGGAAGAAGTAACATAAAAAAGAGATGATCCCAAGAGTTCATGGGCACATAGTTGTTTTAAGTTATTACAACATGATACACGGAGAGATTGCAATTGAGGTAGCTGACGCATAAATGGAAAAATAAATAACGAACAGTTGCCAAGAGGCAAAAACCGAAATTTTTATTTTTTATTTAAAATAGTTTTTTAATTTGTTTTTTTTTCTCAATTTAACCCTCCATTTTTTTGTCTTCTTCTTTCATATTTCATGCCCATTCTTTTTATTGCTTTTTTTTTTTTGTAAGATTTTTTAAATTGTGATTTTTTTTCTAATTTCATCGTTTAACTTTAAATTGGTTGAGAATTGAACCCAAGTTTATGATTTTATAAGTTGCGAATATGGAATATTAACTCAGGTTTAAAGGATTCATCTGAATCAATTAATATGGATTGAAATAGTTTACTATTTTTTCATACACAAACTTTTACACTCATCCTTCTTCAATTATTGTGGATTAACTATTTTTTAGTTTGTGACACTCGAACCTTTTACACAATTATTATTTTGATAATTATCTTGAACATAAAAAATGTGATAATTTTTTTTATCCTTATCCAAAAATTATTTTCCTTTTTTATTTATTTATGATGCAACCCTATCATTATATAATATTCATCTTACAAAAGATTTTTCAACACTTTGGTATAATCAATTTGTATCCACATCACATCATCAACTACTCATACAGAGGTTCACTTAATACCAAAAAACTAAGCAAGTAAATATTTGGTATCTTTATTGAAAAGTAAAAAAGAATGCACCTACAAAATTCCATAATATATAGCACAAATAGTAAGTATATTTGCATTTATTTAGTTCAATAACTTTTTCTTAGTTGTATAAACAAACACATCAATATAAAACTATACATGTGCAAAATTGTTACCAAAATATATCTATGATTATAAGGACAATCTCAAATGTTGGCAATCCTTTTACGAGTGTATTCATGCTATTCTTTGTTTACATAAAATTTCCTCCTTGTTGTTTTGCTTCTATAGTATCCTCTAGTAGAACCCCTAAATCTTATTCCATCATGTTAATCTTGTTGATACTTGTATCAACATTAACTTTTTTAGATTACATATATAATATATTCTTATCATTGTTCATTCTAAGAAACTTAAAATCAGAAATTTTTCATATTTATTCATAATATTTATCTTACTTTTCATAGCATACACTACCACATTCATTTATTTCATCTAATGATCACACTTTATATTAAAATTGATCAATATCACTACCTTATCTTTGTATTTTAACTTATAAATGAGTTTGGATTTATTAATCCAAATAAATGCTTATGACTTGTGCTTTAATTATATTTATGGACTCATTAAACTCATTATTTATTTATCTCATATTTGAGTCATATTTTTGGGTTTATTTGATTCATTTCCATACTTAAAACTCATATTCTACATTATATATATTCTTCAATATATTTTGGTACTCATAACATGCTTTATAACAATTAATGTCATCTACTCATTTTCATCTTGACATCTCATGCTTTATTTTATTTATGCATTCATGATTCCATTTCAATAGTTTTAAATGCTCATTTAATTAATGTAAATAATTTATTCCTCGAACCTAATTTCATATTCATAACTCATCATTTAAGCCAGTCATATTCAGCTATCCATTTTAATATTTGGGGTTTTAATTTGAATTAATCAACCTTTATTAATTAACCCTATATTTATAACTTATACTATTTGTTATTTATACACTAATCGACTCATCTTGATAATTCATAACTTTTTATTTTGCACCATTCATATTCCTCACTTAATTTAAAATGCTTACAACTCAACATGCAAAGCATAATAACCTTGCCATTAGGATCCATTTAAAATTTTGTATATTAGATCTGTTGTTGCAACCAATATAAAGTTCTATACAAATATCCCACCTTCACGATTGATTTAATTTCCATACATTAATCCTATTGTTGCATTGTTGCAGTCAATTTGAATTTTACTTATTAATTTCCTTGTTACAGTTAGTTCAAATCTTACTTATTGAATTCACCATTGTGGTCTATATAAATCTCACACATTAATATTATTGTCATTAAAACACACTCCTTTCATCTTATTTTCCCTTCTTGATGGCAAGTTTTCACTGAATAATATTTTCCTACTCTATATATGATATTCATATAATGTATTTTCTGTTATGAATAGTTTGTAAACAATGCATATAATTTTCTTCACATTCATTACACGAACAATCAATTAATTAAAAAAAAAGATAAAATAGTGATCTTTACAACAATTTTCATATTTCACCTATTAACCCTCCCTGAAAGCAATTTATTCTTGAAATTATATTATCCAGCCCCAAAAACAATCCTTTCTTGAAATTCTATTATCCTGCCCTAGAGGCAATCCATTTTTGGAATTCTAATATCTCATCATAAAGGCATAATTCATTTGATATCATTCCTTATCCGAAGGCATAATTCATTCTTTCATTCCAGAAACACAATCCAATCATTCTCATTCCATTTCATAACTATAACATGATATAAAAATTTCAAAATTATAAGTAAAGTTGTACTGAATTTAAAAGAATAAGGTGTCGAGTACCTACCAAGTCCTCTTGTCAAATGTGCTTCTCATGTCGAAGGTCCAGTTTCCAAACCTATAACATAATATATATATATATATATTCAAAATTTTATTGGTTCTTAACATCTCATAATTATCAATTTTCCTCATTAACCTTACCCATCTAACATTTTTTTGCCATTTCATTTTAGTTATTTTTCGCAATCCTTACCATGCCATTATCGTGTTCTTATATAAGGTACCACACATTTATTAATTTTTCTTTATACCAAGCTTTTTTCCATTAATTTTTTCCCAAACTTCTCTAATTACAAAAAAAAAAAGCAACACTAACTAAATTTTCTTCTCTTTTTTTTTTGTTCATTCAACCAACATTCACAATTTATTTTAACTATTATTCCCAATCATAAATGATAATACAACATACAAACTTAATTAGTCAAATCATATACAATATAGAACCTTTTCTCCCTAAATATGGTTGGCCCTAACCTTAGCAAATTTTCTATTTTCTTCTTTTATTCTGTTACATTTCTTATATCTCATTCATTTTTCCAAAATCAAACCTATATGTCTATTTGGTTAATATAATTCCATAGCAAGGTTCTTACTAAACTTTCATAATTATCATTATCTTCCATTAGATGTTACAAATACCCAACTCATTTAACTAAAAACTCATTATAACATAATTTTTCATTCATACATATGACATAACTTCACAAGTTTAAACCAATTTCTACTCCTCCTCTTACCCTACATCTGGCTAGCCCTAAATGCTAAGGTTTTTTTTTTTTTAATTTTATAATCATGTCTAGTTTACATTTCTCCTAAGCTAACTTAACCCATTTACTTAAAAACACCAATTTTTTCCATCATTTCTCTAGAATCCTAGAATCAACATATTTAAGGGCTCTTCATTTATTCCTTATAAAAACTATCAAAACTATGAAATAAATAGTAGAGGACATCTTACCAAGCAAGTTTGAGTTCAATTTGTGGTTTTATTAGCAAACTTTTATTCTTCTCCTTCTTTTTCCTTCACACTTCTAGCTTCTCTCTCTTCCTCTCTACTCTCAAAGCCATCCCTCACCATCTCTATATTCATTTATGTTTGCTTCTCCTTCGTTGATTACATAAAACTTTTCCCCTCAATCTCACCATTTGAAAGGACATGAATATGGCTTTGGAGAAGAAATTAACGTGTGAAGAACCTCTCTCTTTGTTATGCTGGCTGTTGGCCTTAAGAGAAAGAAATGAATGAGTTTTTAGATTATTTACCATAATGCCATTACTCATTTTCTTATGTGTTATTTGTATGTAATTTACCTACCCATCAGTACTTGTTTATACTGTTTTATGCCTAAATTCTTTGATATTGCTAGTCTAATTCTCAATGGTAATTTAATTTATTTTTTTTTCTTTCAATACTTATATCTCTTACTTAAAAATAATCAATGTCATCTATCTATTTTTTTTTTATCTAATTTTCATTATCTAACATAATTTTACGATTGGATTCATTAATCCAAATTGCATTTTACCTACATATATAGATTCCTTAATCTCATTTGTCCACTTAGCTTGACACTTTGATCTTCTTTATAGATTTATTTAGCCTATAAGTAATAGTTTTTTTATTTTTAATTATCATTTCACAATTGAAAATTACCATATCTAGCACTAGTTTATTAATTTTAGGCCAGGAATTATATAGTTGATCGAGGTTACTACTATTTTTTTATATCTTTTTTACATAGTTAAATTACTAGAGTACCCTTAAAAGTGAAACAACACTTAACTTAGGTCTAGGCTTTTTTTTTTTAATTTCACTCTTAGAGCTTGACTTCATTGGCTTATTCATAATCTTATAGGGATTTTGGTATTTTAATTAATGTCAATAATAATTAAAAAAAGCTATATTTTTATTTCATTCTTCAATATTGGATTGGTTGGGAAGTAGACTTCATTAGTGATTTTTTTCCTTGCTTTGTATAGGGTTATCATAGTCTCAAACAAACATCTATTTTAGGGTTGATCCTTCAAATTATGAGCATCTATTTTTTATCATATAATTAAATATTTTTTTAAAAACCATATTATTAAACTCAATTGAGTTCATAAATCGAGTTGTGGCATGACTAAAGTTATTCACCATGTTGTTGTCTTAATACTTAAAAAGATATTTTCATTTAAGTTTTTAATACGTATAGTCATACTTTTACCATTCATTAGGTTGCCTTTGAACCCAAGAAATCAAATTATTCATATTAGGTAACTCTGATATAGTTTAATTGAAAACTTATGTTAGACAAGGAGTCAAGT